ACAGAAAATCCAACGGTGGAGGGGAAGGAAAGCCCCTTATGGCGAAGAGCCGGGTCTTCGGCATACATTAGAAGACGAATAAATGATGGGAACTTCAGAGGGTTTTTTTGGAACTATTAATGGCATCGCCTGGTGCAATCTCCAGACTCCCAGCAGCTATCAAATTGGAGAAGACTGTTTTCTGCCAGATTCTGTGCTGAGGGGATCCTTGGTGCTCTCCGAGCTTGCTTGTTTTCTTGCAGACCGTTTATATATATAAACAGACAGCAAATAGCACTGATGATGTAACCTAGTTGGGTCATGAAAGGTCTGCAAGAAAACAAGCAAGCTCAGAGGGCACCCAGGACCCCACAGTCCTCCTCCTCTCCACAAACCCCTCCCTTCCAGCACTGATGATGTAACCTAGTTGGGTCATGAAACGTCTGCAAAAAAACAGCCAAGCTCAGAGAGCACCAAGGACCCCACAGTCATCGTTCTCCTCCTCCAATCTTCTTCCTCCTCCTCCTCGCAAACCCCTCCTCCTTCTAGCACTGATGATGTAACCTAGTTGGGTCATGAAACATCTGCAAGAAAACAGCCAAGCCCAGAGCACCAGGGACCCGTCATCATTGTCCTCCTCCTCCTCCTCCAATCTTCTTCCTCCTCCTCCTCCTCGCAAACCCCTCCCCCTTCCAGCACTGATGATGTTACATAGTTGGACCATGAAACGTCTGCAAGAAAACAGCCAAGCTCAGAGAGCACCAAGGACCCCAGTCATCGTTCTCCTCCTCCAATCTTCTTCCTCCTCCTCCTCGCAAACCCCTCCCCCTTCTAGCACTGATGATGTAACCTAGTTGGGTCACAAAACGTCTGCAAGAAAACAGCCAAGCTCAGAGAGCACCAAGGACCCCACAGTCATCGTTGTCCTCCTCCTCCAATCTTCCTCCTCCTCGCAAACCCCTCCTCCTTCTAGCACTGATGATGTAACCTAGTTGGGTCATGAAATGTCTGCAAGAAAATAGCCAAGCCCAGAGAGCACCAAGGACCCCACAGTCATCGTTGTCCTCCTCCTCCTCCTCGCAAACCCCTCCTCCTTCTAGCACTGATGATGTAACCTAGTTGGACCACGAAACGTCTGCAAGAAAACAGCCAAGCTCAGAGAGCACCAGGGACCCCCTCATTTCAACCCGAGCTGCCAATATTCTCCTTCATAGATTCTGCGCTGCGTAGGACTTCCAATTGTGGAGAAAAACATTTTGACCGAATAACAAAGAGTTGGAAGGGACCTTGGAGGTCCTCTAGTCTCACCCTATGCCAAAGCAGGAGAACTGATACAGGGCAGTCCTCAACTTACAACGGTTCATGTAGTGATCTTCCAGTTATAACCGCACGGAAAAAAGTGACTTTATGACGTTTCAATAGTTATGACCGTTGCAAGCATCCCGGCAGTCACGTGATCAAAATTCAGAAACTTGGCAAGTAATTCCTATTTACAATGGTTGCATCGTCCCCGGGGTCATGGGACCACCGTTTGCAACCTCCCGACATTACTATTGCAGCGATTCGCTTAAGAACATTGGCAAGGAAGGTCGTAAAATGAGGCAAAAGCCCTTGAACGAATGTCTCACTTAGCGACACAAATTTTGGGCTCAATTGCGGTCGTAAGTCAAGGAACACCGGTAGCATTTCAGACAAATGGCTGTCCGGTCTCTTCTTAAAAGGCTCCAGTGTTGGAGCACCCACAACCTCTGGTGGCAAGCAGTTCCACTGGTTAATTGTCCTCGCTGTTAGGAAGTTTCTCCTTAATTCCAGGTTGCTTCTCTCCTCGATCAGTTTCCACCCGTTGCTTCTTGTCCTGCCTTCTTCAGGTGCCTTGGAGAATAATTTGACCCCCCTCTTCTCTGTGGCACCCCCTCAAGTATTGGAAGGCTGCCATCGTGACACCCCTCGTCCTCCTCTTCATTAAAACGGACATACCCAACTCCAGCAACCGTTCTTCAGGGGGCTGGACTAGAAGGCCTCCCAAGGCCCCTTCCAATTCTCTTATTCTATGTTCTTGCGTTTTAGGAATCTCTCGAGGGGATTTCTAACGTCCCGCGAAACGGAGGAGCGAGAAGGGGAAAGAAAAACAGACAACGGTCTCAAATATAACACGTGTTTTCTTTCTTTCTTTCCTTTTCGTCTTTCGCAGGACTCGAAGGGCTGAAGGGGACCAAAACAGCCCAATGCATGAACAAGTGATAATCCGGAGAAAATTACAAGCTTGAACATCATTCCAGAAATACAATTTTCGTGGGGAGGTGGAAAAAAACAACAACAGGGAAGGAGCCCCACGATAGAAATCCCCCCCCCCAAAAAAGAAAAAGCAACGAGATTAGATCCTTTGGTGACTGTTCTCTGGACGGCCTTGGGTTAAAGGTCCCATTCTCCTGGGCTAACTGTTGGCGATGGGAATCAACCCCCACCCTACCAGCCTACTGGAAAGGCACCAAGCTGCGAAAGGCTGCCTCCCCCCCCCAAGCCCATCATACACCCCCAATTCCCACAGCCTCCCAATGCCGGCAGCGATCCAGAGATGGAAATTTAAAGGCCAGAACCAACACCCCCCCCCCAAAAAGTAAATATTCAGGTGGGCAATCCATGTAAACAAGGAAAAACCAAACACAAAACAGCAGGCTGTTAAGAATAAGAAGAGAAGAAAAAAAACGGGAGGAAGGAAACAAATGAACGAGGGCAAGGGGGGCGTTTACAGTACGAGTTAACACTGATTGCACAAAAATTCCTCGCAGTCCTGTGGAAAGGAAAAGGCATCGAAAAAACCCCCAGGATACGGTTATTTATATGCAAAATATATACAGAAAAATTTTAAGATTCCGCTATGTATAATTATGTACAAAGGAACTAGTCCTGGACTACGGGCCGGGAAAAGACGCCGGGCCAAGTCGGACGATGGCCGACGAGAAGCAGCTTCCAAGATAATCTCGCCCTGTGCGGAGACGCCCCCTTGGTGGAAAGGAAAGGCCGGGAAAAAAATCCCACAGAGAGGTCACCTGGGCGTCTCCAGCGATCTCCTTACTCCGGAGATCCAGAAGACGACCTGAATTTAGGGCACCAAGAAATTAAACCGCGAAGCTCCCAGTTGCATAGAATTCACGTCCAACGGAAAAGGGCGTTTGCGGAGGGATCCGGAGCGTATCCGTCTATATAAAAAGAAGGGAGAGGGTCTCGCTGGCCTCTTCTCCCCCCTCCCTCCTCAGACCCTGAAACGGGGGAGGGGGCCATTGATCGGTCAGTGGCGTCAGTACTTTGGGTCGTAGTTGTAGTGCAGTACAAAATGAAAGGCGGCCGAGGGGTGCAGAAACGGGCCGACGTCCAAACGAGCAACTCCCAGTCAGTCAGCAGCTCCCCTTTCCGTTCCGGAAGACCAAAACGAGCGACGGATCGCCGCAAGGACGGAGACAATCGGGGTTAGTGTTCGGCATCCATGGCGTCTAAATATTTCGCTTCGATGATCCTGGGGAGCAAGTTGTATCTGAGAAGCAAGGAGAAGAGGGAAACAGTTCAGAGAAGAGCAACTAAGATGATCCAAGGGCTGGAGACTAAAACCTACGAAGAACGGCTGTGGGACTTGGGTTTGGCTAGTCTAAAGAAAAGAAGAAATAGGGATATAGGATAGCAGCGTTCCAGTATTTGAGGGGCTGCCACAAATTATTCCCCAAAGCAGCAGAAAGCAGGAGAAGAAACAATGGATGGAAACTAACCAAGGAGAGAAGCAAGAATTAAGGGGAAACTTCCTGACAGTGAGAACAATTAACCAGTGGAACAGCTCGCCACCAGAAATCATGAGTGCTCCAAAGTCACCCACCTGGTTTTCATGCTTAAGGCAGGACTAGAACTCACTGTCTCCTAGTGATTGGTCCAGCTTTCATGCCTAAAATGGGATTGCAACTCACTGTCTCTTGGTGATTGGCCCAAAGTCAGCTAGCCAGCTTTTTTGCTTAAGGCTAGAACTCACCGGCTCCCAGTTTCTAGCTGGGTGCCTTAACCACTAGACCAGGGGTAGGCAACCTTGGCTCTTTTATGACTCGTGGACTTCAACTCCCAGAATTCCCGAGCCAGCCATGCTGAGGGAGAGATTTCCAAGCTGAGCCATGCTGGCTCAGGAATTCTGGGAGTTGAAGTCCACGAGTCACAAAAGAGCCAAGGTTGCCTACCCCTGCACTAGACCAACCTAGCTCTCGTGTTGGTAGAATCAGTTTCGAATTTCAATCGATCTGATTATTTTGCGGCCTGCTACATACCAGCAGGCCCCAGGCTGAAGATGTAGCTCCACCCAAACTCCAGACAGAGAAGAACAACAAAGCCTGGAAGATAACTGAGGTTACAAAGCCGGGATCTGCAGCCCCTCCATCCTGTCAAAAGCCATCTCTGCAAAGGAGGCCACGGCCATGATCTTACCTGATCGGGATCATTCCGATCATAATGAGCGGGAAAATCATCTTCATGTAGGGCAGAGGGGACATCCCAAAGCTGCAGAGAATGAGGAGCTGGAGGACCTGCAGGCCGGTGAAATAGTGGATCTTCCTCTGGGGCACCCGGCGGATGTAATGGGTGGGAGGATAGGCTGTCTGGAAGGAAGGGAAGGGTCAGCACCCAACAAATACAGGGAGTGTTTGAGCCGTGGGGGGCCCCAGTGGTCAGAATGTAGTATTGCAAGCAAAAGCTCTGCCAGCTGTCAGCAGTTCGAATCTATCCAGGCTCAAGGTTGAATCAGCCTTCCATCCTTCTGAGGTCGGGAAAATGAGGACCCAGATTATTGGGGGCAAGAGGCTGACTCTGTAAGCAGCTTAGAGAGGGCTGTAAGAGCAGTATGAAGCGGTATATAAGTCTAAGGGCTATTCTATTCTATTCTATTCTATTCTATATACTTATTCTATTCTACTATTCTGTTCTATATTCCTATTTTATATTTCTATTTCTATTCTGTTCTATTCTATTCTATTCATTATTTCATATTCTATTCTATTCTATTCTATATACTGTACTTATTCTATTCTACTATTCTGTTCTATATTTCTATTTCCATTTCTATTCTATTTCTATTCTATATACTTATTCTATTCTACTATTCTGTTCCATTCTGTTCTATATTCCTATTCTATATTCCTATTCTATATTTCTATTTCTATTCTATTCTATTCTATTCTATTCTATTCTATTCTATTCTACTATTGTTGTTCTATATTCCTATTCTATTCTATTCTATTCTATTCTATTCTATTCTATTCTATTCTATTCTATTCTATTCTATTCTATTCCATTCTACTCCGTTCTGTTGTTCTATTTTATTGTATGTCTTATTTTTGCCATTGTGGCGCAGTGGTTAGAATACAGTATTGCAAGCTAATTCTGCCCACTGCCAGCAATTTGATCCTGACCGGTTCAAGGTTAAACTCCGCCTTCCGTCCTTCCGAGGTCGGTAAAATGAGGACCTGGATTGTTGGGGGCAACAGGCTGACTCTGTAAACCGCTTAGAGATGGCTGTAAAGTATCGTGAAGTGGTATATAAGTCTATGTGCTATCACTATTCCTATCTTTAGGGAGGACCTTCAAGGCCACCAGCAGGGCGTGGACAAAAAACCGAGATCCCAAACCGCAATCAGAGTTGATACAACGGCCGAGTTTCCCGACCCAACACAATCAACCCATGTGTCAACGCTGCCAACATCGGATGTTTTTGCATTGACAACAGATGGAAATGTAGCCATCTTTTTCCCTTTTGCTTTTAGAGTTAGATGATGCTGGGAGGGGGGATGTGGATGAGAGTCCAGCTAGACATAACAACACTAAACCTAGTGTGAGAATCAAGGTTATTGTAACCAGAGCTGATAAGGAATTGGGGGGCTGGAGAACTGGAGAGGAAGCCCACGCTTCAAGCTAATTGGGGAATGTGATTTATGACTGTTAATTGGAGGAGGGAATTGTGCTTTGATACTAGGTGCCAAAAGGAAGGGAATTCAGTTTTTGGCTTCGATTATGCAGTGCCGATATTATGCTACTCAAAATAAAGATTCTTTAAGGTAAACAATGCCTCGAAGTTCTTTCAAAGAGTTTCATCTGTTGGAACCATGACACCATGATCCTCGAGAGACGGCGTTGAAGAAGCAGCTTGGCCGTCGCTCTGCGGGGTCCGACAGGCCGGCCAGCCCTCCCTCCCTCCTTGCAGCTTACCTGCTCCTTGAGCAAGAGGGCCACCCTCTCGAAGAGCTGGTTCCCATCGATGGAGGTGAAGGCAATGTAGAGGAAGAGTCCGTAGAGGACCGGCTTCGGGATCAGCTGGAGGGGGAAAGGAAGCAGCAGGAGCGACAGGCCCACCAAAGAGTTGGCCACCAACGTGGTTAGCCGGGTCTCCTTCACACTCACAATCCTAAGGCAGGGAGAAGAGTCAGGGTCAGTGTGTGTGTGTTGAACACCTGCAGCGGAGGTGTTAATCCAGAGGTAGGCAACCGTGGCTCTTTTATGACTCGTGGACTTCAACTCCCAGAATTCCTGAGCTAGCCATGCTGAGGGGAAAGGGAGAGGTTTCCAAGCTGAGCCATGCTGGCTCAGGGATTCTGGGAGTTGAAGTCCACAAGTCATGAAGGGGCCATAATTCCCCCATGCTGGCTCAGGAATTCTGGGAGTTGAAGTCCATGAGTCATAAAAGGGCCAAGGTTGCCTACCCCTGTGTTAATCGATTCATTATTTTGGTGTTTCTCACCCTCGGCCACTTGAAGACGGCTGGACTTCAACTCCCAGAATTCCCCTGCCCGCAGAGCTAAGTGACACATCGGTTCGGTGAATTTTACCCAATTTTATTACAACTGCAGCATTGTTAAGTTATGTAACCCGGTTGTTAAGTGAATCTGGCTTCCCCCCACGGTCAGAAGGTCACAAAAGGGGGATCGCCTGACACCCCTCCCCATGGACATTGCGACTGTTGTAACTGTGAACCAGCTTGCCAATCTGAATTTGGATCAGGTGAATCATGGGGATGCTGCAAAGGTCGTAAGTGTGAAAAATGGTCGTTAAGTCGTGTTTTTTTTTTGTGCTGTTGTAACTCGGAAAGGTCACTAAATGAACGTTTGTAAGACGAGGACTGCCTGTATTCTGACAGTGACACCAATTAACCAGTGGAACTACTTGCCTCCAGAAGCTGTGGGTGCTCCAACACTGGAAATTTTTAAGAAGAGACTGGACAGCCATTTGTCTGAAATGGTACTACAGGGTTTCCTGCCTGAGCAGGGGGTTGGACTAGATGACCTCCAAGGTCCTTTCCAACTATTCTGTTCTGTTTTTATTTCTATTTGTATTATTTCTATTTCTATTTCATTCTATAGAGAAGCAACCTAGAATTAAGCAGAAATTTCCTCACAGTGAGAACAATTAACCAGTGGAACAACCTGCCTCCAGAAGCGGTGAATGCTCCAACACTGGAAGTTTTTAAGAAGAGACTGGACAGCCATTTGTCTGAAATGGTATAGGGTTTCCTGCCTGAGCAGGGGGTTGGACTAGATGACCTCCAAGGCCCCTTCCACCTTTATTATTATTATTATTACTATTATTATTACTATTATTATTAGTCTGCTTTGATGGGATGGGATGAAAGCTTCCCAGGAATGTTTCCATCCTAGAACATCAGCAGAGCTGGGAGGGACCTTGGAGGTCATCTAGCCCAACCCCCTGCTCTAGCCCTGTAATCTTCCAACTCTGATCTGAAACGACAGGTAGCCCTCGAGGTACGCAACCACAAAATGAGCCCCCAAATTTATGTTGCTAAGTGAAATGTTTGTTAAGGAGAGTCCCCCCCCCCCCATTTTACGACTTTTCTTGCCCCAGTTGTTCGGTGAATCCCTGCGGTTGTTAAAAGTCACACGGTTGTTCAGGCAATCTGGTTTCCCACCATGGACTTCGCTCGTTGTGAAAGGGGATCGCATGACCCCCCCCTTTTGTTTCTCTTAGCCACATAAATGTTGGGCTCCTTTATGGTTGTAACTTGAGGACTATCTTTATCCTGGTTTTGTTGTTGTTCTTGTTGTTTTTGCTTCGATCTAACTTAAGCGAGGTTTCCAGCCACCGAAAAGGCAAAACAGATTTTCGGGAAAACCCTCTGCATCATTTCCATTTCCATCCCAGCTAATGGATTTCCTTTCAACCTTCTTCTAGGCTTCCCCTTTCATGGAGCTTAAAGAAAAAAGAAAAAAAGAAAGAAATTTAGACTCTGCGGTCTGCTAAGCTTTTATCTCGCCGTGCCAGCTCCCGGCTGCTTTTTAATCTTTCCTAGTTGCAGCTACCCAGTTTTTCAACCTAACATTTCAGCTGTCTTTCTCAAAGCATTAAAAGAAAAGGGAAGGGAAAAAAAAAAAAAAGGAAATAGGACAAGTCGAAAAACAGCAGACACAGCTGGGATTTTTTTTTTTAATAAAAAATATCTCCCTTTTCCAGAGACCCAGTTGTTGGATCAACCTCTGGATCAAACAAAAAAGTCGTTATTAATTCAGCGCGATTGATAAACCGGAACTAAGTTTCAGCTCTTTAGCAGATGATGGAAAAACACGCTGAACGAACACTAGGAATCGGAGGACCACATTGGTAATTTAAACAGAAATGAGCTATATGTGCATGAAGTTTTCGACTTGCGACTTTTCGTTTAGTGACAGTTTGAAGCAACAACATATCCTGCTCTATTCTATTATTCTATTCTATTCTATTCTATTCTATTCTATTCTATTCCATTCTATTCTAATCTATTCCATTCCATTGTTATTCTATTCTATTCTATTCTATTCTATTGTTATTACTATTCTATTCTATTCTATTCTTCTATTCTATTCTATTCCATTCTATTCTATTGTTATTACTATTCTATTGTTATTTCTATTCCATTCTATTATTTCTATTCTATTGTTATTTCTAATCTATTCTATTGTTATTTCTATTCTATTGTTATTTCTATTCTATTCTATTCTATTATTCTATTCTATTGTTATTACTATTCTATTGTTATTTCTATTCTATTCTATTGTTATTTCTATTCTATTCTATTGTTATTTCTATTCTATTCTATTCTATTCTATTCTATTCTATTCTATTCTATTCTATTCCTGTCCTGTCCTGTCCTATCCTATCCTATCCTATCCTAAAGGAACATAAACTCTGTCCCCCATTTGCCCATATCTGCACAGTATTAACTATGACAAGACATCAGTTTCCCAACTCTGAAATCCTCCTTTTCTTTGTAAAAATAGTTCAAATTCTGTAGTGACATACAGCGAACCACAGGTAGTCCACAACTTACAATCCTTCACTTCAACGCTGAAAAAATGTGACTTACGACCTCTGTAGCCTCCCCGTGGTCCTATGATGAAAATTTGGATGCTTTTGTGTTTATGACGCTGGCCTGAGATTACATGATCACTCTTTGTAACTCACGACAAGCAAAGTGAATGGGGGAATTCAGATTTGCTTAAGGATGGCACGGCTCACTTAACCACTGCTTGTTTCGCTTAGCGACCGTGGCGAAAAAGGTCACCCAATGGGGCAATACTCCCTCAACAACTGCCTTGCTTAGCAACAGAAATTCTGGGCCTCAATTGGGGACGTATGTCGAGGAATACCGATACAATGCCACCAACAATAATTCTTCTCCAGTGAGGAAATGAATGTCTAAAAAATATTGCATTTAAGATAAAGCTAAATGTCAGGAAAGAAATAGGCTAATTAACAAATAAGAGAGAAAATGCCAAACCATATCTGTAGGGATATAACATTAATTGTATGATTCACCATGGTATTAAATGTGGACCATATAGAAAGACACTGCTCCTTTTTTATTTTTTTTTATTATTTTAGGACTTCTGAAAAACAGATGACTCATATCCTGAATCCGTTCATTCCAATCAGAAGTTGCTTTCCACTTATATAAAATTATTTGCCACGCTCTGGGCTCAGCTGAGCCGAGGCTTTTTACGAGATGCCAAATTCTGTGTTTTAAGATTATACTTCCAGATCCAAATCCAGTTCCCTTGCTGCAGTATAATCTTTCCCAAATTGTACTAACATATGTGATCATTTGAAATCAAAGTGAGGCTATATAGCAGAACGAGACCAAATCATATTAGTTAAAAAAAAAAACATTTCGAATTTCTCAAAGGGATAGAACAAAATCAGCCTTTAATTTTAGGACATGAAATTCTCTTCTATTCTCTTCCTATTCTTAATTCTATTCTCTTCCTATTCTATTCTATTCCTATTCTTAATTCTATTCTATTCTATTCTATTAATTCTATTCTATTCCTATTCTTAATTCTATTCTATTCTTATCATTACTCTATTCTATTCTATTCCTATTCTTAATTCTATTCTATTCCTATTCTTAATTCTATTCTATTCTTATCATTATTCTATTCTATTCTATTCTATTCTATTCTATTCTATTCTTAATTCTATTCTATTCTATTCTATTCCTATTCTTAATTAATTCTATTCTATTCTATTATTATTATTATTATTATTATTATTATTATTATTATTATTATTATTATTATTATTCTGATCTATTCTTTTTATTCTGTTCTGTTTTGATCTATTATCCTACCCTACCATACCCTACCCTATTCTTCAGCTGACACTTCTTCAGCTGGCACTTCCGGTGAGCAGTTCTAGACTCCTCCAGACCTAGAATGGACTTCCAGAAGTGACATCCATGCACTTCCTGCGGGCTGTTCTAGGCCTGGGAGGCCTCTTCCAGGCCTCCAATTGACTTCCGGAAGTGACATCCACACACTTCCGGTGGGCCGTTCTAGACCTGGGAGACCTCCTCCCGTCCTCCGAAGCCTAGAACGGACTTCCAGAAGTAGCATGGGTTCAGCCGGTTCTCTGAAGTCAACAAAATTTAGCTACCGGTTCTACCGAACCCGTGCGAAACGGCTGAATCCCACCACTGGTTCACTCCCTCCCCACTCCCATTTCCATTTTTAGTGGATTTCTGGAACTGCTGGCCAGCTCAATGTCTTCCAAAGCCATGAAATGGCTTCTGACTCCACCAAAACAGAGCAAGCTCTACTCAGGACTTACGTCTCGTAGATGTGTCCGTTCTCAACCCTTTCCTCGACGTAAGCCAGGGCCCGGACGTGCATCGGCGAGTGAGGAAAGGCAGCGTGGATCCAGGGTAATCCGAAGACGGACAGGCCCGTGTTGATCAGCGCTACCAGGAGCAGGTCCCAGTGATAGGCTGTTCCCTTCACCAACCTGGAATAAAATGCTTGTTAGCCAGGATTCGTCGCGGGGACACCGGGCCGAGCCAGAACAATCTGTAGCCCAAGAATCGGAACGCTTCAGGCCTCCAACAGAAGAGAGTAGCCGTAGCTCAGGGTAGCACTGTGGGGTCCTTGGTGCTCTCTGAGCTTCGTTGTTTTCTTGCAGACATTTCATGACCCAACTAGGTAACATCATCAGTGCTAGAAGGGAGTGTGCGGGGTTGTGGGTTGGAGAAAAAGAGAGGAGGGGGAGGGGGGAGGACTATGACTAAGGGGTCCTTGGTGCTCTCTGAGCTTGTTTTCTTGCAGACATTGCATGACCCAACTAGGTAACATCATCAGTGCTAGAAGGGAGTGTGCGGGGTTGTGGGTTGGAGAAAAAGAGAGGAGGGGGAGGGGGGAGGACTATGACTAAGGGGTCCTTGGTGCTCTCTGAGCTTGTTTTCTTGCAGACATTTCATGACCCAACTAGGTAACTTCATCAGTGCTGGAAGAGAGGAGGAGGAGGAGGAGGAGGAGGAGGAGGAGGAGGAGGAGGAGGACGACGACGACGACTGTGGGGTCCTGGGTGGTCTCTGAGCTGGGTGGTTTTCTTGCAGACATTTCATGACCCAACCAGGTAGCATCATCAGTGCTAGAAGAGAGGGTGTGTGGATTGCAGAAGGGGGAGGAGGAGGAGGAGGAGTGTGGGATCCTTAGTGGTCTCTGAGCTTTATTGTTTTCCTGCAGACGTTTCATGACCCGACTAGGCAACATTGTCAGTGCTAGAAGAGAGGGGGTTTAGGAAGAGGAGGAGGAGGAGGAGGAACTTCGTTGTTTTCTAGCAGACATTTCATGAGAAAACTAGGTAACATCATCAGTGCTAGATGAGAGGGGTGTTTGGATTAGAGGAGGAGGAGGAGGAGAAAGATGATTATGGGGTCCTTGGTGCTCTCTGAACTGGGTGGTTTTCTTGCAGACGTTTCATGACCCAACTAGGTAACATCGTCAGCGCTGGAAGAGAGTGGGGGGTTTGCTCTGTCTTTATGTACAAGTAACTTCTCTTACCAACATTCGTAAGGATATGTTTTTCTCTTTTGTAGTTCCTTGATTAGGGAACTATCTAGTTAGGGAACTTTTAGCCGTGGAGTTCTAGGTCCTCTCTGAACTTGCTTGTTTTCTTGCAAACGTTTCATTACCAAACTAGGTAACATCATCAGTGCTGGAAGAAAGTAGATTTGCTCTGTTTACATATAGTAAAGCATAGGTGAGGGTATTGATCTCATCTTGGTATTCCCATGATTAGGCTGATGTTTACTGTTCTGAATTGATAATTTATTGATGGAGGCACTGCTTATTAGTTGATTGGTGGTCTAGTATTAACCGTGGTGTCAATCTCTGCTTATCTGTCTGTTGAATACTGATGACGTTACCTAGCTGGGTCATGAAACGTCTGCCAGAAAACAGCCAATAAAGGAGAATATTTGTGGCTTAGGGTTGAAATGAAGGGTCCCCCGGTTCTCTCCGAGCTCGGTTGTTTCCTCGGCAGACGTTTCGTGACCCAAACGAGGGAGCAGCACTGATGACGTTACCTAGTCGGGCGATGAAACGTCTGCCAGGAAAGCAACCAAGCTCGGTGAGCGCTAAGGACCCCACGCTTAATCCCTCCATTGGAGAAACTTGCCTTTAGCCTAGGTTTATTGTGCTGGAAAAAGTCTTCAGGGTTAATGCTCAAAAAGTCGATTTCTAGTTCCATTTTTTTAAAGAGCGGCACGGAAGGGAAGCAGACAGCGTTATAATCCTGCAGACTAATTTGCAGAGAGAGCTGTTATTCAGAAATGCTGCGGAAACTCTTTGACTGAGTTGCAACGATGACCGAGGCAACTCTGTGCATCCTCAGAGACTCCTCGTTTAGTGACAAAACCCGAACCTGAAGTAGAAAAGCTAACGGAGCCACGGTGGAAGAGCTTACCTGTTCTCAGGTGCGTTGGTGAGCGAGGCCACGATGTTTTGCTCGATGAAGAAAAGCATGGAGAGCAGGAAGCCCAGACCCATCGCGCTCATGACCGGGCCCAGGTGGAGATCTTTCAAGGGGGCCAAGACGAACAAGCTCTCCGACTGATTGTAGTTAAATTTGGACACTGGAAAAACGAGGGAAAGTCAACAGGCTCGAGATAAACGGGTGGACGCTCCATCCCTGGAGATCTTCGAGGAGAGACTGGAGAGCCATTGGCCCGGGATGGTTAGGTTAAGGGGAGGGGGTGTCCAGCCTTGGCAACTTTTAAGACAACTTGTGGACTTCAACTCCCAGAATTCCCCAGCCAGCCATTTCCTCCCTTCCTTCCTGGCTTCGGGATTCTGGGAATCCAAGTCCACAAGTTTTAAAGGAGGGGCAATCACCAGGAGGTGAAGAGTTCTAGTCCCGCCTTAAGGCACGAAAGCCAGCTTCGGGACTTGGGGCCAATCACCAGGAGACGGTGAGTTCTAGTTTTATCTCTGACCTGAAAGGCGGCTGGGTGACTGTGGGCCAATCACCAGGAGACGGCGAGTTCTAGTTCTATCTTTGACATAAAAGCTGTCTGGGTGACTGTGGGCCAATCACTAGGAGATGGCGAGTTCTAGTTTTATCTTTGACCTGTGGGTCAATCACCAGGGTGACTAGGTGACTGTGGGCCAATCACCAGGAGACGGCGAGTTCTAGTTCTATCTTTCACATGAAAGCCAGCTGGGTGACTGTGGGCCAATCACCAGGCGACGGCGAGTTCTAGTTCTATCTTTGACATGAAAGCTGGCTGAGTGACTGTGGGCCAATCACCAGGAGACGATGAGTTCTAGTTTTATCTTTGACATGAAAGCCAGCTGGGTGACTGTAGGCCAATCACCAGGCGACGGCGAGTTCTAGTTCTATCTTTGACATGAAAGCCAGCTGGGTGACTGTGGGCCAATCACTAGAACACGGTGAGTTCTAGTTCTATCTTTGACATGAAAACCAGCTGGGTGACTGTGGGCCAATCACCAGGCGACGGTGAGTTCTAGTTCTATCTTTGACATGAAAGCCGGCTGGGTGACTGTGGGATAATCACCAGGTGATGGTGAATTGTAGTCCTACCTTGGGCTTGAAAGCCAGCTAGGTGACTTTCGCTCCATCACCAGGTGACAGTGAGTTCTAGTCCTGTTTAGGCGGAAAGCCAGCTGCGTAACTTCGGGCCAGTCCCTCTCTCTCAGCCCAACCAAAATAGCAACTATTAGGTATCTTCAGCACTTTTTGAGTTATTTATAAATAATAATAAAGGCGGGATACAAATAAAATAAGATAAAAAATAAAATAAACAGGCGTAGAGGAGGGTCTTCCATCTAAGCAGCTGAGATTGATTTTGTAAAAGTAAAACCGTGAAGTTTAAAAGTGTGGAGAGGTTTGTCCCTTTCCAGCAAGGAAATTTGTTGTGTCAAGTCAACAAAACTGCAGAGGTTTTTGCCCCTTTCTGGTTCCAAACGGGTGGAATGCGACCCGCACACAAAAAAAGTGGGAATGGTGAGATTTCTTCATTTCCTTTTTAGTCATCTCCCCTCATCTCCAATCCACGTCATTCGGAGGATGGAGAGAATTGGGGTTTTTTTTTCCCTTCCTACTGCGGAAAAGTCGATCTGTTCGACCGACGGCAGCCGTGGATAATATTTTAGATTTCCTTCGACGTCCGATGCTCCCAGCCTAGCAGATGTTCGGGATCGTTTGCGTCGTTTAATTAGGAAAATACAAAGTAGAAGCAAAAGAAAAAAAAAAAAAGAAATCAAACCCGGAGGAAAAAACGATGGGTCAACATTCGTCAACATTCGTCAACCTTTACATCTGTATGTCCGTCAGCGGTTCTTCCTGCCTCTGGTAACGAGGCAGCCTTTTTTGCTGGCTGCCAGAATAATTGGGGCGGAAAAAATAAAGTTTCTTTTTTTTTTCCCTCCAAAAAAAAAAAGGAAAACAAAAAAAAAAAAAAAACACACCTCGGTAAGAGTGCCTTTTTCGTGATAAGTGAAATTAAACTGTGGACTAGAATCATTCAGAGAACTTAATGCCTGCGAATACAAGACACTTCTTGCGAAGATATAGATTGGGACTCGGGTTGTTTGACAAGGGTCAGTTTTGCGATGCATTTGATTTGTTTTGTTTCTATGCGGCTGTTGTTATTTTTATATTAAAAAAAAAACACATTCCAGGTGGCAAATACGTCCAAACTCACCTTTCTCCTCCTGTTTTCCTAACAACAGCCCTGTGAGGTGGATTGGGCTGAGAGAGAGAGAGAGTAATTAGCCCAAAGTCACTCACCTGGCTTTCATGCCTAACTCAGGACTAGAACTCACCGTCTCCTGGTAATTGGCCCAAAGTCACCCAGCTGGCTTTCATGCCTAAGGCAGGACTAGAACTCACCATCTCTTGGTGATTGGCCCAAAGTCACCCAGCTGGCTTTCATGTCAAAGATAAAACTAGAACTCACCATCTCCTGGTGATTGGCCCAAACTCACTCAATTGGCATTTATCCCTAAGGAGGGACTAGAGCTCACTGTCTCCTGGTGAGTGGCCCAAAGTCACCCAGCCGGCTTCCATGCCTAAGGCAGCACTAGAATTCCCCATCTCCTGGCTATTAGCCCAAAATTATCCATTGGTTTTCCTGCCTTAAAGCGAGGCTAGAACTCTCCGTCTCCTGGTGATTGACCCAAAGTCATCCAAGCTGGCTTTCGTGCTTAAAAGCTGGGACTAGAACTCACTGCCTCCTGGTTTCTAGCCTGGAGCCTTAACAGTGACTAGACCCAACTGGCTCTCATTTGTTTCTGATTATTTCATGCCTGTTTGATGACGGACACCAGGTCGGAATCACGAGACGATACAGCAGACCAAATAAGTGTAAACCTTCTACAATGATTAATAAGTAAATAATTAAAACCGGTGGGTGGGGGGGGAGAGTCAAGATCGAGAACAACCTTGACAAATGCAGGTGGCCCTTTTATGACTCGTGGACTTCAACTCCCAGAATTCCTCAGCCAGGCATGCTGGCTGAGGAATTCTGGGAGTTGAAGTCCACTCCTCTTAAAGTCTATACCAGGGGTCTTCAAACTTGGCCCTTTGATGACTTGTGGACTTCAACTCCCAGAATTCCTCAGCCAGCGTGCCTAGCTGAGGAATTCTGGGAGTTGAAGTCCACTCCTCTTAAAGTCTATATCAGGGGTCTTGAAACTTGGCCCTTTTATGACTTGTGGACTTCAAATCCCAGAATTCCTCAGCCAGGCACGCTGGCTGAGGAATTCTGGGAATCGAAATCCACTCCTCTTAAAGTCTATACCAGGGGTCTTCAAACCTGGCCCTTTTATGACTTGTAGACTTCAACTCCCAGAATTCCTCGGCTAGGCACGCTGGCTGAGGAATTCTGGGAGTTGAAATCTACAAGTCTTAAAAGTTGCCAAGTTTGAAGACCCCTGTTTTATTTGGTCACCAACGTTTAAACCACCGTTCGGAAATACAACGGCGCTGAAAAAAAAGTGACTTAGGACTGTTTTTCACACTTACGACCGTCGCAGCATCTCCGGGATCACACGATCAAAATTCAGGCGCTTGGCAACCGACTCCTATTTTTGACCCCATTTGCAGTGTCCCGGGATCACGTGATCCCCCCTTTTGGTGACCTCCCTGACAAGCAAAGTCAACGGGGGAGAAGCCGGATCCACTTAACAACCGTGTGACTAATTTAACAACGGCCGTGATTCACTTAACAACGGTGGCAAGAAAGGTCGTAAAACGGGGCAAAGCTCAACAACTGTCTCGCTTAGCGATGGATTTTTCCCCCAGCCCCGTTGTGGTCGTTAAGGCGAGGACTCCGTGCACTTTCAGACTGGCGAGGTTTATCTTCACGCAGCCCTGCCATAAAGTAGAATTCGCTCCTTCCTGTCTGCTCCACCCGGGAAGGCGGACGACGACGTTGCAACGATACAGAACCGTTGGCTGCGAGGTCCGTGGCCAATAAATTCAATAAATAAATTAATGCTCTTCTCCCTTCCCTTCAAAAATCCCCACCACCACCACCACCCCCCGCCTCCCAAGTTGACCTACTTTTTATTTCCGCGAAGAAGTGGGATCCGATCACGGAGAAGGTGAGGACAGAAATCGGCAGCGCACAATCCGACAGGATTTCGCGGACGCGGGGATGGAGGTACGGGCTGCAAGGGAATTAGAAACACCCAGTCAGGACCACCAGCTGCCCTGTTGAAGGTGGCTGAAAGATCAGGATGGAACTGCAAAGGTTGATGAGCCAAAGGAAAGGGCCGGCGGCGGGATTCAGCCGGTTTGCTCCGCTTCGGCAGAACCGGTAGCTTATTTTTTTGTGGGCCAGGCCCAGAACGGACTTCCGGAAGTGGCATCCACGCAGAGAACTGGCGGTTCACCTATTTGAATCCCACCACTGAAAGGGGCTCGTTTCAGCTTCCTCACGGTCAGGAGCATTGTGAGAACTTTCCCAAGAGGCGTGTTGGTCAAATTTTGGTCAAGATGCCGACATCCATGCCTAGCTAAGAGGCTGGTTCATCGCTCGTCCTTCCCTTCTCTGTTGCATTCTGTTCAACCAGGTCTAGCCTGGTTGGAAAAATGATGGTATATGGAGTCCTTGGTGCTTTCTGAGCTGGGTGGTTTTCTTGCAGACGTCTCATGACCCAACTAGGTGACATCATCAGGGCAAGAAGGGAGTGGGGTATGCAGAGAGGAGGAGGAGGAGGAGGAGGAGGAGTGTGGGGTCCCTGGTGCTCTCTGAGCTTGGTGGTTTTCTTGCAGACGTTTCATGAACCAACTAGGTAACATCATCAGTGCTAGAAGGAATAGAGGGTTGAGGAGAAGAGGAGGAGGAGGAGAATGACGACTGTGAGGACCTTGGTGCTCTCAGGGCTTGTTTTTTTCTTCCAGACGTTTCATGACCCAACTAGGTGACAACATCAGTGCAAGAAGGGAATGGCTTTGTAGAGGAGGAGGAGGAGGAGGAGGAGGAGGAGGAGGAGGAGGAGGAAGAAGAACTGTGGGGTCCTGGCTGCTCTCTGAGCTTGGTGGTTTTCTTGCAGACGTCTCATGACCCAACTAGATAACATCATCAGTGCTAGAAGGAAATGAGGGTAGAGGAGGAAGAAGAGGAGGACGACGACAATGACCACTTTTTGTGCTAGTCTCCCATAATGGGCACAGAGCAGCATTCCTCAACCGTGGAAACTTCCAAAAGGCCCGGCTGAGGAATTCTGGGAGTTGAACTCCACGCATCTTCCTGAGGCCGAGGGTTGAGAAACACCGACAAACAGCCACAGGACCCCTGTGCCATTGGCACTGATTGATACGGTTGCTGGAATTGGGTATGTCTAGTTTAACGAAGAGAAGGACGAGGGGGGACATGATAGCCGTCTTCCAGTATCTCAGGGGCTGCCCCAAAGAAGAGGGAGTCAAGCTATTCTCCAAAGCGCCTGAAGGCAGGACAAGAAGCAACGGATGGAAACTAATCAAGGAGAGAAGCAACCTAGAACTAAGGAGAAACTTCCTGACAGTGAGAACAATTAACCAGTGGAACCACCTGCCTCCAGAAGCGGTGAATGCTCCAACACTGGAAGTTTTTAAGAAGAGACTGGACAGCCATTGGTCCGAAATGGTATATGGTTTCCGGCCTGAGCAGGGGGTTGGACTAGATGACCTCCAAGGTCCCTTCCAACTTTATTATTATTATTACTAATTATTATTATTAATTATTATTATTATTATTATTATTATTATTATTATTATTATTATTACCTTTTCTTGAACTGATAAAGAGTGTGCCCAAGCCACAAGGTGCCCAGCATGAGCATCAGACTCAGGACGGCGGTTTCTCGCCCCTCGTGCGCGGCATCTGAAGGACCGTCGCTCTCATTTCCCATCGCGGGACGTTCTGTCGAGATGTTCAGCAAGAGGGTGTTGTTGTTGATGGACAACGTCTGCGGTCTTGAGCCGTGGTAGTAGTTGGTAAAAACTGGGGGGAAAAGAGAAAACGAACCATTTTAGAGCTGGCGGATGGACAAAAAAATCTCCATTTCACGCCTTTATTTAGACCCAGGCACACCTTGGTTAGAATCAGCAAGAAGGGCCCAGGCAGTGCTCAGTTTACAACAGCTCGCTTAGTGACCGTTCAGAGTTACGACGGCCCTGGAAAAAAAGGGACTTAGGACCATTTTTCACACTTAACGACCCCCGGGTCCCGTGATCGAAATTCAGACACTTGGCAACTGACTCGTGTTTATGACGGTCGCGGCATCCTCCCGGGGTCACGTGATCCCCTTTTGCGACCTTCTGACAAAGTCAACACGAAGCCAGATTCATTTAACAGCCTTAAGTTGCCAACTTAACCGCAGTGATTCACTTAACAACCAAGATCGCAAAATGGGGCAAAATTCACTTAAAAGCCCTCTTGCTTAACAACATCAATTTGGGGATCCGTTGCGGTCCTAAGTCAAGGACTAGTGTATTAATGCTTGCATTTACCTTCGTGTCTGAAATGGGAGAGGGTCTCCTGCCTGGGCAGGGTGGGTTGGACAGATCAGGGCTTTTCAACCAGTGGTACGGGTACCAGCTGTGGTACATGGGCACCTGGCAGGTGGTACGTGATCATCCTAGAAAAGTGGTAGCAGGGGAGGGGAATGAGCTGAACCGGTGGCAGCACCGCACAAGCCTGAGCGAGAGATGGCTGGAGCTGCAGGGCTGTCGGGGCTCAGCGGAAGCGGCAGGATCAGTGCCGCTTTCCAGCTGATCGGCGCTTCTTCGGGGCTGTCAGGGCTCAATGGAAGCTCCAGGATCAGCGCCAGGCTCCAGCTGGAAAGCAGCATTGATCCTGGCGCTTCTGCTGAGCCCAGAAGAAGTGCCGATTAGCTGGAATTTCATTCATTCATTTCATTTTATTCAATTTGTATCCCGCCCTTCTCCCGAAGGACTCAGGGCGGCTCACAACATTTTTTAAAACAGAAACAAACCCACAATCCCCGCCGAATAAAACCAATTAAAACCCAAATATTTTAAGTTGTGACATTTAAAATTTTCTAAAAATAAACCCGATTTAAAATCCACCCTAGGCCAGGCCCGCTTG